TTGTTCTGTTTTTCTTTTTTAATGCGTCATGATCTTAGTTTCAGCATGAAAACATCTTGTACACAGGTTTTTCTCAGCACGTAAGCAAGATTTCATACGTGATGATTGAAGAGCTGAAGCTGCGGCACAACTCGGCCTCTCATTTTACTCTGTAACTGAGTCCTTGTAGTTTCATTTTATTCATTTATATTATTATTTTACTTTATTAAAAGAGGTGAAAAATATGACTGTGCAGGTCAACATGTTTTTTAAACAAATACAATTAAAAACATTACGCTTATATTAGGTTGTCTTTGCTGTTTCTTTTGACTTGTCTTCTGTTTGTTATTATTATTATTATTATTATTATTATTATTATTCTATGATTCATTTCTTTCTTATCTAGTGTGATGTTTTTATGTTGAGGTGCGGTTTTGAAATGAGCCCTACATGAGTTTCTTCCATCACCTGCACATCCATTATTTACAGTATATTTCTAATGTTTTATTTGCGCAAATAAATCAAATAAAATCAATCAGATCATTTCTATTGGAAACAGGTTCACAGACTTTTTTTTTGACCCCCTTGTTTTTAAAAGAAAAATATATACGACTCAGTGATGATGAATGATGAAGATTTGCAGTGTAAAAGTTGGAAAAAAAAAGGTTTTATAATAATAATAACTTTATTATTTATATACAAAGCAATAAAAGATACAGGGAAAAGAGACAGAGTGGGAGGCAATGGAGTAACAAGGAGGAAATTTGCCCGAGGATCTCAGGCAGCACGTGTGTTCATACGGAGAGCAGCTCTGAGACAGAAGGAGGTGTCACACCACACAGAAAAAGATTCAACAATTTTTCATTTTAATGCAGAAAAGATTGTGTTTCTGCTGCTGCTGCTGCTGCTGGCTCTGAAATGCAAAGATGATTTTTTAACGTGAGATAGAAACGCAGCGTTGTGGTTGTAGAGGTGAGTCCAGACTGAGGTTTTCAGGTGTTCTGGTCTGGTCTTTAAAAGAGGAGGGAGAACAGGAGAAGATGTCGTCCTCTGTAGAACATCCCGGGTTCTGTATAGGACCAGATACTCCGGAGACAAACCTGAATAATGCTTTGAGTGTGTGTGTGTGTGTGTGTGTTGTTAATGTTGGCAGCGATGGAGTGTATTGTTGGACCGAGTGAATAAAGCGCTGGTACATTGGCTCGAATTCAAATGGTCTTGGCCGCAGCCGCTAATCAGATTCAAGAAATCACAATTTCATGTTGTTTCAATTCATGCTGTTGATTTTGAGTTCAGTCTCATTCTGTTAAACCTCAGAGATTTAAATGCAAATTCACGTTTGTCTTGACATTTTGCTGTTGCACAAAAGTGTTGAAGGATTTACAATAACAGAAAACACCGAGTTCATACGGAGTTCTTCTTCTCGTCGTAAACTTGTGCAGCTCAGTAATTATTAGCTTTGGCTTTTACTTATTTTCTTATCTTTGTGGGTTTCAGGTCTTCGGCTGAAGTGTTTACTGTGGCTGCACATGTCTCTGCTTCATTTACTTTTTGTGTTTTATTGCGAAAATATTTCTCCTTTTTGCACAGTTGTATTTATGTATTTATGTGTGTGTGTGTGTGTGTGTGTGTGTGTGTGTTCCTGCATGTTGCAAATCTGGCACAGATGTGATCCACTGTGATAAACTGCATCGTGTCACAGCAGAGAGGAGGTGGGGGAGGTGGTGGTGGTGGTGGGGGTGGTGGGGGTGGGGGGGGGTCTAAAGTTCAAGGCGGCAGACACACACACCTCGTCTGTTGTGGTTTTTTGAAGTTATCGTCGTCACAGAACCTGCAGACAGATCAGAGGCTGAAACACTTTCAGCCTCACGTCGTCACGGCTCAGTCAGCGCCTGTGAAGTACAGCCGTCATTTAAGTGTTTAATCCTCCTCGGGGGACTCGTGGAGTCTTTATGAGGCCTGAACAGACTCTTAACTCTCCGCTGCTCCTCTGTTAACACGTCCTTGGTTTTATCTGCTGACGATAGAATCATTACCTTTTTAGTTACTGTGGAAATAAAATGTGGTGAAAGCTTAAATACCTAAGAACCTCACAATAACCTTCACCATCCATCCACCTCAGAGGGTTAATGACTCTTTATTTCCTCTTCTGTGTTGTCAGTGGAAACATGTATGAAAGTGGTGAGATGAATTGATCTTTAATCAGTATTACTCATGTTTTATTAACCGCACGTTTGTTGTGTTTCTGCTTTTAGCTGCAGCTGAAATTCACTGATGTCTACATTCATTCTGCTGTTTTTATTTTAAAAAATAACAACCTATAAAAATAAGTTTTTGTCAGAAGGAAACCTTTCATTTATACTTAATATTCATTCAGCAGCACGTTTCTGTGTTAAATTATATACGGCAGTCTACACTGTTCATATCGCTCATCCTCCATCCCAACATGCGTGTGTTACGTAACAAGTTGTTATTGATGACTCGCGGCTCCTCCCCCTGTGATTGCGTGTTGGTTCTACGTTCTCTACAGACAGACACTCGGTCTTAATGAGCGTTGGAGCACGAGTGTTGAGCGTAAGACAGAACCCAGCCAAGCTCCATGTGTTGATGTCCTAATATGGTTTGTTGGATCACAGTCTGAACCTCTGGACTGTCTGTCTGTTTGAGCTTTGACATCAGAATCTGACTCGTTTCATTTCAGCACATCGAGCCAGAAAGAGTACTGTTTTCTCTTTTTGTAGACATGTGTGGGATGTTAATAATAATAATAAATATTTTCATTACCGGTTTTGGCCGGTAGCTCTCGTCTCCCAACAACAACTGAATCAACCTGAGGAAATGAAAATAATCACCTGGCTCTGCTTCTCTCGGCTCTTGCCCACTTGAAAGGTTCTTGTTAAAGACAAACTGTCATCTGTTAAAACACATTATACCATCGGTCACCTTCCTCTTTTCATGGCTCGCCTCCAAACACGTAGCGTCCTCCTCCGTTTCCAAAGTTCACATTAGATTTTGCTCAATAAGTCTTTCTCAATCCAAATCCAAATGAAACGCGTTGAACAAACAAACACATGAAACTGGACACGAGGCACGTCAGTTCAGCAGCTTTAAGCGTTATTATTTTTGTTTTGATAATGTCATTTTTGTCATGTATTGAAATTGAAGTAAATGTCAAAGAAGCTGAAGCACGACAGATCAACTCATTTTGTGTTTCACCGTTTCTGGAGTTGTGATAATTTGTCTTTTCCTTGTTTTCTAATTCGCCAAATAGTGGCAGCTTCTACATTGTGTGTGTGTGTGTGTGTGTTTGGTTTGTTTTATTTTTAATATCCAATATTAGTTTTTGGACAAAGACGTTTTCATTAAAATGAGGAGATTTTAAAAGCATTAACTTTTTCAAAGAGCTGTTACAGTAACTCGACTCTGGTGATGGAAAGTCTTCACACAGGAAACGAGGCAGCACAGTGGCAAAGCTTAACAAGCTGCTCGTCTCATATCTCTCTATATATCTCACCTTTTTCTTTGCTCTCTCTCTCTCTCTCATCAGGGAGAGTTTAAAAAAAAAAAAAAAAAAAAAAGCCCCACTATCACTCTGACTTCCTGTTACATCACGGACAGGAAGATCCCCTTCTTCAGAGAGACCCACAGATATTAGAACAAGATGTCCTTTAATTCACCTGCTCTGACTCAGTGACTCATGAAGTGACATGAGTCAGACTCGCTAGTGAGATCAGGGTTCGATGTTGTCATCGACCGAACCACAACATAAAAATAGTATGAAAATCCATCTTTTTTTATTTTTTATTTTTTATCTCAAGCCTTTCCACATATGAATAGTTTGCATGAATAACACAGGGCGCTTTGTGCAGCGTGCACAGCAGCGTTTGAGGCCGATGATTGGATCTGTGGCCTGATGCATCTGAAGGGACAGACAGTTCAGATGTGTGGAAAAGAAAGAAATGGAAAAACTGAGCATTAAAACACGTGTCTCAATACACATCTTCATTTTTTTCCCCTTTAAAGTTTAAACTTGAATTATCCAGAAAAGGAAACGCACATGTGGTGGCGTGCTGCAGTTTAAATTCATAGTCATTATATCCATATTGTTCATATTGTCTTATTTAAACAATGTCTTAATTGAATTTTCATTTTATTTTGCAGCCATTAGCATTATTATGCAACATATTAATCATTATATACAACCCCACCACCCAAAAAAAAACCCAACTCACATGTGTATAAAACCAAAATCAAGACAAAGTCAGTCTTAACATTTATACAAAGTAAAGATAAACAACATAAACAGCCATTTTACTTCTGGGGGTTTGCATCCTGAGTTCTCCTCCTGCAGAGGCGTCTCCACACACACGGCACCAGTTGTAGACGCAACAGTTTTGAGAGCTATCAGTATTTACATTTTACTTTGATTTGATATACGAATAAAATCTTATTATTGGAATGAAATCAGGCAGGTTCTGCTGCTACCATCAGATATTTAACGAAGCAGCTGGTGTGATTAGTGTGACTGTGAGGCCACAGAGAGAACAGAACTCCTCCCTGTGTTCACAGCGGAGAGCGCCTTGTGTTTGAACTTGTGAGTGAACCTCGGTGAAACTGGCTGTGACAGACTGTGGACAGTTTGTGCTTGTCGAATCACATGGGGATTTATGGTATTGGGTTCTTTGCGCTGCTATTTGCCAACAGCGGTTTGTACAATGGCGAAGTAGGAAGGAGCCCAGACAGTGTGTGTATTCATACAGAAGTTATGGCTTCCTGATACAGATGGATCGGTGAGGTATGATTCTCAACAAATAACTACCAATGAACCAAAACATGTCTGTCAATAAGGAGAATTGATTTCCTCAACGACAAAAAAATTAATAAAAAAAATGGAAATTTGAAATCATAAATCACAACAATCTGTTTCTGTATCAGAATCAGCTGTTTTCAGCTTCGGAGAACAAAGTGAAGGTGTAACCAAACTCCTGTCTGTGTTGTTGTTGTTGTTGTTGTTGTTGCAGGAGCAGCTCAGAGCGTCGTAAGGAGAAGTCCCGTGATGCCGCTCGCTGCAGGCGAAGCAAAGAGACGGAGGTTTTCTACGAGCTGGCTCACCAGCTGCCCCTCCCCCACAGCGTCAGCTCTCACCTGGACAAAGCCTCCATCATGAGGCTGGCTATCAGCTTCCTGCGCACACGCAAGCTGCTTGCCACAGGTGTGGACCATGCACCACACACACACACACACACACACACATATGATCACATGCAAGCTGCAGTGTTGTGCATTTAAATTAAAAGGAAAATATGCAAATCCCGGCAAGTTGCAAGTTCCTTATCGTGATATCTGGCCAGATGAGTGTGCGTGTGTTGATGATGATTAATTGTCCGGTGAAGTAGGAAGGTATTTGCGGGACCTTTTCTTTGCACTTCTACGCCTTCCTCTTGTCTTATTTTTAAAATTAGACGCTGAGGAAGCTCCACAAAGAGACACGACCTATTGTTCTGGAATTCCTCCGCGGCCTCGAAATGAGATCAGAGCGCAACAAAATTAAACAACTATCGCAACGTCAGTGGTCAAGAAGAAAAAAACAGTTTATTTTTCTTTAACAGAGTTGCGTAACGGTTTGTTCATTTCATTTGTACTTCAGCCTTCAACACCTGGACTCCATTAAACTGGGTCATGGTTCAGCAAAAGTCAGATCTGTTCTTTATTTATTTATTTACCATTAAGTTAATTAACATCCAGCTCTATAGCTCTGGGCCAACCAGTGCTTCGTTAAACAACAGTGACCTTGATTTGTAGAGTCATCAATCGGAAAATTGATCAATCGCTCTCAATAATTATTTTATTTGTACAGCACATCGTATGAAGTAAGAGCAGCTCAAAGGGCTTCACAGTTAAAAGTAATCAACATAAAATAACTACAGGTAGAAACAAGTTACACAAACGGACCAAACTGGCATTTAAGTGTCAAAATGTGTAAAATTACCAAGATCCTTCTGTTGTCTGTTTAAACCCAACAAAATATTTCCAAAAGCAGTAACCTTAATATATATATGAAATAATCATTATCATACTTTTCCATTGGGAGAAAGATTTCCTCAAATTTTTCCATTGTTGTGTTGAAGTTAAAAAAATATATATTCAAAGATGTTTGTTTGATCATTTTCACGTCACTTTTGAAACAGAGTAAGTTTCATTCCATCAGCATAGACTTGATTTTAGCCACACCCCTTCATTTTGTCTATCAGGAAGTACGGCCGAGCCCCTCACACGCATTGGCTGCAACTTTAAGGAACATATTTTCTGCAATTAAGCAAGTTTTTTGGGGTGTTATTGCAGAAAATGTAGTTTTCATACGTGTACACCTGTTCAGAACCGTGCTAGCTAACCATGTGCTAACTAGCATCTGTTTAAGATTTGCTCAAAATGTTTTAAAAACAGTCATGAACAAAGAAAACTTTGGTAAATACAATGAATCTCTATTGAATACACCTGTGAAAACTTAAAATAATAAAAAATATATATTTACAAGGTAGATGTAAACAAAATCTTAATAGGTCAATATAACCCTTCTTATGATATTATGTTGTGTATTATTGTGTTTTCATACTTTTAGGAGAACAAAAATATCCCCAAACTGTCTGAAAATACAATATGAGAAGTAATTGTACAATTACTAGAAATGTGTACTTTGGATATCTTACTTTATTTAAATATAAAAGTTTGGGGGGGGGGTGTTTTCAACTCTGAAGAGTAGACCACATCTATACATTGTAAGAAAAATAATATCTACTTGTGATAATAAAAAAAAGTTAATTTTAATAATAAAATAACATATTTTGCTTCAACTATCAACATGTTTTTCACGTATACAAAACTTTGAGTTAAATTAAAGGGTTAAAAAAATGTTTTGATGCTAACCCCCGGTGGTATCTAGTTATGCGGATAGTTTCAGTTTCATGTTCCAAGATTTTGAGATATCGACCTCTAAAGCTGCAGCCGCCACCCTAACACAATGAAGGTAAATTAGACTGTGGTGCTGGAAGCATTGAGAAATTATATTTGAAAGACCTCCCTGGAAACAGTTTTTGTAACGTGGGTGATCTGGCCCTTTTTTTAAATTCAACATTTAAAAAAAAAAATGACTGAAAATTCAAGTGCAGCTATTAAACGTGAACAAAGACAAAGATGGGGGTTTGAGGTAAGGAGGAGATTAAGAAGAATGGGGAGGGATGGGAGGAAGAAGGAGGCAGGAGGGAAGGTAGAAATCATATATGTGAAAGAGAGGAGGCATAAGGAAGAGGAGGAGGAGGGAGGAGTAAAGGTAATGAGGGTAGGAAAGCAGTGGGTGAGGAGAGGAGGAGAGGACAGGGAGATCCGTGAGATGCAGCAGCAGATAGAGCGTTATCGGGCCGGTTTGATTGCTCCGCGATGGAAGGAGAGATTGGAGAGGAAGCGAAGAGCTCTGCCCATCGTTCGGCTGGTGCTGGCATTACCCCCGCTAGCCATAACACCCGACCGCCTTGGCGCCAAACATGCTGGCATGCACACTCGCATACACACACACACACACTCCTACACACACTGTATATGCACCCGAGAGCACATACCGTATGCAGGCTGCTGTAGGGAACACCTCTGTTATATAACATAAGCTTGGTTGGAAGCCAAAGAACACTGATGTGCAGATTAGCAGGTACTCAAGAAATGAATGTGTTTTCTAACTGACTCGACTTGTGTTTGGTTTCTGAAGCGTTTTTGGAAAATATGTTTGTTTACCTGTCCTGGAGTCCAGAGTTGTATTTGAAGATAAATATCAATTTACTGCAACAGAGATTAGTTCATGATGTGTTTAACTGGCTTAGCTCAAAGATTAAAAACTGAGGGGAAACTGCAAGTGTAAGAAAATACAGCACACATGTCTGCTGCACAAATTGTATCTTGTTATTTTATTGTGTTTTTAGCGTAGCTTAGCACAGAGAGCAAGGAAAGCTACTAACCAAACTTGGTGAAAAAATTTATATCTTTTAGCAAATTAAGCTTAAGGTTTTATTTACAGGTTATACCTTACTCATTTAACACATACTGACATGGACTTAAGAGTACATGTAGTTAGGTCTAGGATGTGTTTAGCCTAGCATAGCACAATAGCTAGGAACAGAGTCCTGTCCCCAAAGCTATCTGGCTTTTATTTATGTCATCTGTCTTATTTTAGTCAAAATCTCATTTACAACTGAGATTGATTTCAACATTGTTAATTTAAAAGTAGTTTGGCATAAGAAATGTTCTGTAGCATTAAGGCTGCACATTTGAATAACAGTAGAAATGTAAAAAAAAGCAAGTGTATCAGTTGAAATTAAAACAGTGAAGCTTCAAATAAGTCTTAAATATAATGCTAACCGCTAACTCCTTCTAAAACCACAATGTCAGGTTTTAACATTATTATTTTTGCACCATAAATAGGAAATAATGTGCAAATAAGATAGTTTTAGTCTAGGCTAAACACACTCACTGTGGATAAGACAGCAAACAAGAATATTTCCCAAAACTTTGGGTTAAAGGTTTAAGTCTTTTTCAAGCTTCAGTCCAATGCATCTCCACCTGTTGTGGCTAAAACATTAAAGGGGCTATATTTAAGATATTGCCACATATATTATGCTAATATTAGCATAAACAGCTTACTTACTAGTCTTCAGCCACCTGCATTTACAAGACAAAAGGTTATAATACTTCCTGTGACCAGAGCTACTTCTTTAGGGCATACTGGACGCTACAGTGACTCGGTATCGGAAAATTAGCTGGTTAGCATGCTAACTTCAGCGGAAGAGAAGAAGTGATAGAAATGGAAGCAAAACAAACAACACTGGTGTCACTTTCCACCGCTGGAGACAGCTCCTAGTGAGTAAAGGGATGAAGTTTGATGATCTTAAGTAAACAGCTAATTAGTTAGCTAATGTTAGTTAATGCTAATGTTAGCTATGTAGCGATAGGAAAAACTTACAAATAGCTCCTTTTTAAGTGATGTCTTTCCTCACGATAGGAGAACCAATATTTAGTGTTACCAGGTTCAGTTTTCAACCCCCTACTTCATAGTAAAATTTAGTAGCTGACAAGTTGTTTCCTTTATTTTTCTTGTCCTTTTGTCATGAAATTCTAAGAAAGAAAACATGAAATTTGAGCCTCAGTCGATGTATCTCTGATCAGAGGGTAGATGACGTTAACGTGGTTTCCTCTGACAGTTTTGTTTGGCATTACACACCCTAAATTTAGTCTTTTCAAGTTTTTCTGTTTGAAACAGTCATGAGAGAATAGCTGTCAAACGCAGAAGAAAATCGGTGAACTCAGTCACATTCTGTCCCAAGTGAGTCCTATGTGTCGCTGCTGTCATGTCACTTCAGTCTGTTCAGTACAACAGAACAAACGTAAAATAATAGAGAGGAAATGATTATCAGAGCAGCAGCTGTGCTGTCCCTATCAAACACTCTTTTCTGAACCCTATTATTTTGAAACGAGGGCGGTTACGCAACCGAAGAACAAGAGAGAGAAGAAAAGTACAACTCGGTCCAAATGACTGGTAATCACAGCTAAGTATTTAGGCCAAAGGTGCCGCTGGTCTTTGGACCAGGCCCCAAGAGTCTCCGCAGCTCCCTGGGGCCCATGAGAAAGCTCTGGGCTCCCCCGGGGGTTAACGCTAGCTGGGCCCGGCTCCAAACTCGAGTCCCAGGCCTCACTGGGAGCCTTGAGAGCCTCTCTTATCTGAGGGAAGCACACTAGAGGAATTGCAAACTTCCCACCCTCCGCCCCCGATCGACTACTGGGCTTTGTTCAGCGTGAAGCCACTGCACACGCACACACACACACACACACACACACACACACACACACACACACACACACAACCACACAACCACACACACACATTCCCTCTTGAGCCGGGCCAGTTAGGCGCTAGCTATGTTTTTTGTATCAGTTAGCTCTGCAATGAGACACACTGGAGTCTCTGTGTGTAAATGTTTGGATACTGCGCTGTACATACTTGAACATAATTGCATAATATGTAAGTTATGTTCTAAAAGTGGGCAGCCATTATGAACGCTTGTGTAGTTTGGGTTTAATTTGTCAGGGTTGGGGATCAGGAGTGGCCTGAGACACAGGAAGAAGCTGCACTGGTTTGTTTTGGCCCCGAGCCAAAGCTTCAATAAGGAAAACAAGCCTGATGTGTGTACACACACACACACACACACACACACACATTCACAATGATATTATTTTATAATCGGCATTGAATGAGAGAAGTAACCCTGCCTTGTTTTTGCCTCTCTCCCTCCAGGCAGCAGCAGCAGCAGCAGCAGCAGCAGCAGCAGCAGCAGTGACGGTGACGAGGATGGACAGATGGACAGTCTGTACCTGAAGTCTCTGGAGGGCTTCATCACCGTGGTAACGTCAGACGGCGACATGATATTCCTGTCTGAGAACATCAACAAATTCATGGGGCTTACGCAGGTACACAAGCATTTAAAAAAAAAAAACAAGAAGCAAGTCACGTGCACACTCATTTTTAAACTGCAACACAGACACCGTCCAATAAAAGTGACGGACACGAGCCTCTGGGTGTGAGTCAGTTCACAGATCTCTCCATTTCCCTTCAGTGAAGACGTGTTTACGCCCGTTATGAGATATAATTATTTGTATATATTTTGTAATTTATGGGAGAGAGAAAGAGAGAGCGGACGGGAAGGTTTCACAGCAGCGACAGTCATGGGGCGGAGACATGGATGTAAACCGTCAGTCAGAGAAGACTGTTGTGTCTGTGTGAAATGCCTCTCATACCAGCAGTGGGTGTTCAGTCCCGACACAGAGGTTCAACTCTAAACTCACATCATCTGGCACTCACTCGGAAAGCAGATCGTTCGGTCACGAGGTGGCGGCCCGTCTCAGCCTGACGAGGTGTCAGCAGAGCGGCCGCCTCTCAACGGTCTGACTTCCTGACTATCTTAAGCCGAACTGTGGTCCGAACCGAAGCAGAAAATGTTTTACTGCGTTTTACTTTGAAAATTCAACAAAGAGTGAAACAATAAAAATTTAAAAATCTGATTTCGGTCTCTAAAAACTCTTCTTCTTCTCTCCATAATAATGTTCGCAAACTACAAATTATGAGCCGAGTTTCCCTGTTTTTTTTGTCGTCTCGTGCTGCTTGTTGTTGTTGTTGTTACCGTGGTAACATTGGTCTTAGGCCTGAGTTAGCCCCGGATTTTGCAGTTTAGTCTAAAAAATAAAATAAAATTTAAATTAAAGAGACTATGAGAAACTTGAATTGATTTTTTATATATTTTTTTCATTTTAAATGTTTTTGAACTTGTACATGGCTGATTGTTTCATCGTTTTACAGCAATTCAGATTTAGTTTGAACAGTAACAGCAGAAGTTAACTGACATTAAATAGCTCCCATTTAGACCCAGAATTCAGGTTGTTTTTTTTTATTTTATTTTTACAACCCATTTTTTAGTAGCTTTAATTCATCAACATAGTCACAAACACCATTTTCGGGTTAGTTACTTTTACCTCAGCAGTTTTAAGAGTGAGGCAGTGAATCCGTCTCACCTGGCGTCACTGAGGCCGCGGTGGATCAGAGGGATGAGCTCCCGCTGATCTCCGGGGCCAGAGCAGCTCTCGACGGGGAACCCTGCCTCATCTCCGTCATACACGTGGACACGAGCCGTTCAGCGGGAACCCGATGAGACGGCAGAATATTTCCATCGTATACGTCCCTCTCTGTGAAGTCGTGAAATACTAGAGGGAGAACGTGGAGGTGTAGTTTGTCTATAAACTGTGGAACAGAGGCTTTTGTTTGTTGTCCTCCTCCTCCTCGTCGTAGTTGTTGTGGATTTTTGTCGAGCGCCTGCAGCGATGAGTTTCTGTTTGTTTTGTGTTGAAGCTTTGAGAGTTTCTGGATGTGACACACTTGTTCAGTCCTGTTGGCTGTTGTTCCTCACACTCGCAACCCAGTTTTTCTTCTCTTTATCCCAAACAATCCGTTGTTGTTGCTGCCAGAAGTGGAAAAACAAAGTGTGTCTTAACTTCAGTGTGGAAGCCAGCAACTGTAAAAGCTGCAAAACACAGATATTTGTGGTATTTATGAGCAACGATAACGATGTCTTTTTACATTTTTTTTATATATATATATATTTAACGATGGTGTTTTTATGTTTCAGGTGGAGCTCACTGGTCACAGCATCTTTGACTTCACTCATCCATGTGACCATGAGGAGATCAGAGAAAACCTCAGCCTGAAGACAGCCGGTCAGCCCACAATCACCCACACAAATCTTACCGTTATCCTCACTTTTAAATGCCATATATCATTCTCATTCCTCTCTTGTGCTGTGGAAAACTCACTGCACGGCAAGTCCCAAACAGAGCAGGTAGATGGAAAGAATATAAAAGCAAAGAAAATAGTTATAACTTTAAAATTAAACAAGTGACAAAAAACCTCAGAACAAATCAGGTCTTGAAATCAGAAGTCCTGCAGTCCGACACAGACTTGGCTCTTTAAAAAATTGTCGTGCTTTTGGGAAAAAGCTTGCATTTCTCTAAAACAGTAAATATCTATAATGTTTGGCATGTACAGCCCCCCCCCCCCCAACAGAAATGAATCCAAGTAAAACACGTTAAAAACAAACAAAGTTTTGTAATAAATTCTATCTCATGAAGAAGTGTCCAGAACAAACATGAGGGTCAGAGATCACAGAGAGGAACCTAAAGAGAGACATAGTGTGTGTGTGTGTGTGTGTGTGTGTGTGGGGGAGCTGCTCGGTACGTGTGCAGAGGCGAGGGAAAGACGATAAGAGCTGAGAAGATGAGAAAAAAAAACAGAGAGAGAGAAACTGGGAATTATCTGCCTCAGATAATGGACACGGTGAGTTATTGTTACAGCAGCTGCAGCAGAAAGTGTCACACACAAGATACGAGTTAGAAGATGCACGTGACACATACGACGTGTTTCACACCGAGCGGATTCACTCAGAAAAGACACAAAAAAAACAGGTTTACATAGGAAAACAATGCTCTCTCTCTCTCTCTCTCTCTCTCTCTCTCTCTCTCTCTCTCTCTCTCTCTCTCATCCACAACTGACTCAACTGTAGTTAATGACTCTTATCAGCAGTGACCGCAATACACAAAACAGTATATTTTATAGTCCCTTTCCCCTTTAACACACTTTCACACACACTTTCCCTCACACACACACACACACACACACACACACACACACACACACACACACACACACACACACACACACACATACGGACCAGAGGAGACAAGTTGTGTGACGCTCGGTTTCTTTTAAGTGTGACTATATAAAGATAAAGACACACTTGAGAGTGTGCAGCTCGACAAAAGACACACTTCACCACTTTGCTGTGTGAGGCTGAACTCTGACCTCGTGATGTAACAGCTTGGCCAAGTTTCAGGTCCTCTGCGCCGGCGTGTGTGTGTGTGTGTGTGTGTGTGTGAGAGAGAGAGAGAGAGAGAGAGAGAGAGAGAGAGGCCTCAGCAAGTCTAAACCTTGACCGGTTTCCCAGTCACATAAGAGAGAGGCAGATGAAAGGAGGGTTTAACTCTGATTTATTCATTTTGCCACGAAAAAAAGGATAAAATTAGGAGCCTCAAGCTGCGATCATCAATCAATCAATCAATCAATCAATTAAACAAACTTTATTTGTACAGCAGGTGCTTCACAGACGACAGATGAGAATAACAGACAGGTGAGAATAAGAGACAATTAAATAGATTTATTGAGCTATAAAAACATTAGCAGACAAAATAATTTAATAAAAGAATAAAAGGTAAAATAGATTAAAATACAATTTAGAAAACAAAAAGTGAATAAAATAAAGTGACTAACGACTAAAACCCATATTTAATGAAAAGCCAGAAATAATGAAACTATAAAAGTGAAAGTTGCAAATTTTTATGAAACACAAATCTGTTAATTTATGAATTTATCACCAGAAACAATTAAACTTAAATTGGATAATTTTCTCTCTTGTGTTCCTCCATGCACAAACAATGCATCTGTTCTTTGTTCTCTCTGTGACGCTGCTTCGTCTTCCACAGGAAGCGGCTTCGGTAAAAAAGGCAAAGAGCTGAACACCGAGCGGGATTTCTTCATGAGGATGAAATGCACGGTGACCAACAGGGGACGCACCGTCAACCTCAAGTCGGCCAGCTGGAAGGTGAGGCGGAGGAGAGCCAACACATCTGCAACATCTGCAACAGCAGGAAAACACACCCAATACATTCCAGTGCAGACGTTACCTCCAGATCAGGAAGCAGCCGAACTCTTTGGCTTGAAACGAAGCAATTAGGCGACATGATGCTGATTTATGTGAATAATGTTCAGAAGCACGAGGAGGAGAAATGATCCACCACAGCGAAAATAGATGAAAGTCTGAAAAACATAACATCATTTTAGTTTGTTTATTTATTTATTTATTTATTTATGAAACTAATGTGCTGCACAAAGAGTCTGCATCAGAATCAGGTAAAAAACACAATAGGCTACATATTGGATAAAAAATATAAGTGGTAAATATGGCCGAGGTCAGGTCCAGCTTCACTGTGTTCACTGCTTCATTTCCTCTTCCCGCCGCTCCCTCCAGGTGCTGCACTGCACCGGACACCTGAAGATGTACAACAGCTGCCCTCCCAGAGTGCTGTGCGGCTTCAAAGAGCCTCCGCTCACCTGCGCCGTTCTGATGTGCGAACCCATCCCACACCCATCCAACATCGACACGCCGCTGGACAGCAAGACCTTCCTGAGCAGACACAGCATGGACATGAAGTTCACCTACTGCGACGAGAGGTGGGCGGGGGAACACTTTCACTGTCGCGCACAGCAGGGTGACACAGAAAAGTGCAGACATACACGAGGAAACTAAAACATTTAAATATTGTTTTGTTGTTGTTAATGTTGGCTAATTAGAAACCTTTTACTTTTGTTTAGTTTTAAGGCCAAAAAACACCTCAACAACAAAACAGTTAATTTATAGAAAAATATCCAGAGTCAGAGCAACAGTCAAACCGGTCTCTTCTTTCTATATATCTTGTTTCTATAACATTTGAAGGCGTTTTGGGATCATAGTAAACCGGGGGGGGGGGTCATAAGTAAACGCACTGCAGTGTCAGAAAACACACACAAATAAACAAAACGCAAACAAATTCAGAATGTTACTCGCATGTGTTTCCAGGGGACACTAAAAAGTGACGGACCCGGCGGGGACGCACTTGTTTTTCAGTGCTTTGGGACTTTTGAAATTAAAAGCATTGAACAACAAGTGCAGATGGATGGATTATATGTTTTTATAATACATCCATGCAAGTGCGTCCCACTTTTTAGTGTCCCCTGGAAACACTTGAGCTTTCAGAGTCACTGTGTGCAACAGGTTGATTCCTCTGAAAGATGTACAACAACAACACATCAGAAGTTACCAGAGCCTCGAATAATGTCTCACTTAGGATTATAGTTATTTTATCTTATAATTGATAAAAACAAATACTCAATAAGTTTTTAGTGATAAGAAAAAAGAAGAAAGAAATTATGTTTAGAGCCTGAAAAATGGCTAAAAAGGCTTAAATTAAATAGAAAGCATCTTCATGCTGAGGAGCGCTGCCAGTTAAAACACAGTCCTTAAAAGTAAAGTGCACACACACACGCACACACACACACACACACACACACACACACACACACACACACACACACACACACACACACACACTGACTGATTGCAGTGTACTGACTGAATCAGTTTGACTTGGCATGGATCTCATGGGAAATGTAAGCCAGAGATGAAACATTAATACTTTAATATGATGCTGTCACGATATCGTCAGACTGTGCCAAGTGTTTCTGATCACAGACACACGAGCAGACAAACCTGCACACACACACACACACACACACACACACACACACACACACACACACAGAGAAAGAATACACACATTCCGGTGTTTCGAAGTGTTTGAGTGTTTGACATCACATCAGCCACGACACCGGGATGGCTCAGAGTTGCTTCCCCGCTGTCATCTGTATCTGTGTTGTGTGTGTGTGTGTCACCATGGCGACGAATATTACATATGAAAGGAAAATGACCTGTCCTTTTTGTGGCAAACTCCATCTCACGGACACGGCGTCCACCTTGAAGCCAAAGAACCGGTTCGTTTGCAACCGAATATTTTTTTTTCTCCCACTGACACGAGGAGGTGACGATGCACGCACACGCACGCACACACACACACACACACACACACACACACACACACACACTGATTTTGAGTTACACAAGCACACGCACGCAGACCTGTAATCTTATCAAGCTGCTCATGCAGGACAAAGGTTTCTTTCGGAGGAAAGTGAGTGTGCACTTGTGTGTGTTGCGCGCACACGTCTGTGCGTGACCGTGCTACAAACAAGGACCCATTTTCTTTTTTGCCTTTTTGGTGCAATTTAATAGCCGCCCTGAAAATCTTCTCTCCAATTACGCAAATGAGTTTATTGTAGGTGGGTCGCCCTCCTGGCTCAGCAGGGACTTACACTCATTAGGGAAGGGACAGAAAGTTTCTTTAGCTCATGTCTGGCTGTGTGAGCGGACGAGTGAGGGTGAGGGAAGGAGAGACAAAGGAAGAGTGAGAGCAGGGAAGGAGGGAAAACGGAAAGAGATTTCTCATTTAGTGGAGAAAGAGACAAAGGGACGAACCTGCGCAGTAGTTACAGTGATAATGTAAATAATCTGGTTTTAGACCTACACAAAGACAAAGACACAACTTTACAATATGTTATTAAAGGCCTCATATTGTACAAAGGTAGATCCATGTGTAGTGTGATTATAGATCAGGTCTAGCTTCTATATTAATACTGTGAAAGTATCAAAGCCTCAGTCCACAGAGAAATGCACACAGCCTGTATTCAGAAACTGAGCCTTAAAACCAGCCGTCAGGACTTCCTGTAACTTTTGTGATGTCACAACGAAACACTCGCTGCACTCTTGCGGGGTTTGGTTTCTCTGGAGTGTTTGTACCTGAAGTCTGCTGTATTTTTATTCAGCCAATCAGAAGAGAGGCTCAAGCAACATGTGAGAAAATGGACGACAGGAAAGACTTGAGTGTGTAAAAAGCAAAAAGAGAAAAGCAGCATGGAGGGGGGAGGGGTCACGTGTTATGGTAGGAGTGTATCAATCATCATCATCATTATAATCATCATCATTATAATTTGGTTCTATTTTAGTTGCAACTGTTTTTGGATATGATTTTGTTTTCTTTCTTTTTTTCTCCCTCGTTTTTTCTGTCTCCCATTTTTCTTTTGCCCTTGTCCTTAATTCGCTTTCTCTTCTTCACTGCTTTAAGATGTATCTCTCCTCCCCTCGCCTCTCTTTCATTTTCTCTACCCTCCCTCCCTCCCTCTCTCCCTCCCTCTCTCCCTCCCTCTCTCCAGCCTGAGGCCTGCAGCTGTCAGAGTTATGTAATCTGAGGACAAGAGCCTCTGTACCACCAGACCTCTCTCTCTCTCTCTCTCTCTCTCTCTCTCTGGCTCTCACAACAACTCCATCATCATCCACAGATTATTAATCTTCATCCTTCTCTGACTTGATAACTCACTGTTTATCTTCATATTTCACATTTTTAACCAATAGAATTCTGGGAATTCTGGTCTGGGAATGTGCAACCAGTCGTCAGCGACAGATGATGGAGATAAATATGGGGGGGGGGGGGGGGGGTGCAGGGGGGGGGTGGGGGGGGAACACTCCCTGATCAGAGTCGCTCTGAAACACAGTCCTGTAAAAATGTAAATTGTGAATGTGATGGTTCTGGTCTGATCTGAACCCTGAGGGAACGTAGAGGTATGATTCACAGAGCAGGAAATAAAAATTTAGATTTGATTTAAAAAATGTACATTTATACTCAACTTAAAATATTTTATACAGCCAATATTTATAAGCATTTAAATGATCTAAATTTGGCAATAAAGGAAAATATTATTACAGCTGTAAAGGTCTCCGTCCATGGTTGTAGTTTTGATTATAGATCAGGTTCTAGCGTTCCTGTATTAAACACTCGTGAACATGCACAGATGTCGGCACTCAGTGCTGCTATGGCAGCGTGTAAAACATAACAGTCTTGTTTAATACAATAAGTTGCACCATTGTATTGTCGTTGTTTTTTTAAATATCTTACAAGAAAAATAATCACGAGCTTCATAAAACATCAGTGACAAACACAATCAGTTTATTTATGGGGATAAGTTTGGTAAAACCGTTAACTGGTAAAAGTCACATCCACCTTCTTTTAATTTATTTTTGGCTAAAACTCGTCGCCTGCATTCTCAGTCCCAGATTACCCTCCCCGCTCTCCTTCTACCCATAAGGACCTTGCGTTCAAGGGTCATTTCCTGTTTGATTTACAGACAAAATTCTTTTTTTTTTTCTTTTCTTTCATTGTTTCAAACACTCTCATACGTCCATGTAACTAATATTCGACTGCCCTTGCATGTCTCCTTATTTGCTGATGCCAGATTACTGTGATCCTGTAACCCCCCCCCCCCCCCCCCCCCCCCCCCCCCGCTCAAACCTGCACATTAAAGTATTCTACAGGGAGAAGAAAAAAGAAAAAAAGAGCTGAACGAAATAAAAGGGGAGAAGGGGAAAAAAAGGGATTTTTAAATGAGCGAAACTAAAGCCGAGCAACAAACCTCATTAACAAAGTGAACTCGTGATTGAGAGTGACAGAGGTGAGAGATTAGCCGTTCCCAGAAGCCACAGCGGAGATCTCTTCTGCTTT